ATGGACTCTGGGCAGGTGAGCGGGGATCCCCACCCTCGTGGTCCCGGAGCCCCAGGGTCACGTGCAGCCGGGGGTTGGGGGTCAGGGCGGGGACCAGCCTCTGTGCAGAGTAGACCTGGGGTAGCAGCATGAAGCGTGCAAGCGAGAGGGGCAGGAGGGCTGGCGCCTGGGGTTAGGGCAGGTGACGTCTCTGTGGCTCAGCAGGGTGGGGACCCAGTGGGTCCGGGATTTGTGTGTGAAGAAGAGTGAGGACAGCCCTGGCCGGTGTGGCTCAGAGGTTAGCGCGTTGGCCCGTGCCCCAGAGGGTCGCGGGTTCGATTCCCGGTCAAGAATACGCACCTGGGGTTGCAGGTTCGAACCCCCTGCCCCGGTTGGGGGGGGAGGGGTGTGTGCAGAAGGCGGCCAATCTGTGTCTCTCTCTCATGTTTCTCTCTCCCCCTCCCCGTCCTCCTCTCCCTCCCAATCTCTAAAAACCAGTGGGAAAAATATCCTCAGGTGAAGATTAACAATATTTTTTACTTAAAAAAAATATTTTTATTGATTTCAGAGAGGAAGAGAGGGGGAGAGAAAGATAGAAACATCCATGATGAGAATCATCGATCAGCTGCCTCCTGCACGCCTCCTATTGGGGATGGAGCCCGCAACCCGGGCACGTGCCCTTGACCGGAATCGAACCCGGGACCCTTCAGTCCGCAGGCCTACGCTCTATCCACTGAGCTAAACTAGCTCGGGCCCAATATTTTTTTAGTAAAAAGAGAGAGAGTGTGTGAGGACAGGTATGACTGGTGAGGGCATGTGCAAGGGCAGAGGTGGGAGGGAGGGGTGTTTGAGATCTACTCAAGGTTCCACGCATTCACTAGGCACAGTGGTTCTCCACCTTCTGGCCCTTTAGATACAGTTCCTCATGTTGTGGTGACCCCCAACCATACAATTATTCTCGTTGCTACTTCATCACTGTAATGTTGCTACTGTTATGAGTCGTCATGTAAATATCTGATATGCAGGATGGTCTTAGGCGACCCCTGTGAAAGGGTCGTTCGACCGCTGAAGGGGTCGCGACCCACAGGTTGAGAACCGCTGCACTAGGGGGTGATGGGGGTTTTGGAGATCTGGGGCAGGCCAGGTCAGTACTGGGTCCTGGTAGTCTTTCTCAGGTCAGCTACGTGCATGACGGAATAGGGGGACTCCAGGGAGACGCCTGACGTGTGGACAAGGGGTGGCGGGGAGGAGAGTGTGGAATGTATGGTCCCTGTACACGGTAAGGGGGTGTGAGCCAAGGGGCCCTGGTGCTCGAGGCTTGAGGAAGAAAGGAGAGCCCCAATTTTCTCGTATCTGGGGGACATAAAGGAAATTGGCCCATGGGGGAAGGGGCAGCGTGCCAGCCCAGAGCTCAGAGAGCATCCATTGCCCACCTGCCCTTTGTTGTTCTCGGTTGGATTGGCCTGAATACGGTGACTGCGAGGAGCAGGGGACACCAGTGGTGCCGGGCCGGTTACCTCCTCTGAAGTGGGGGCCTGAGGAGGAGGAGAGGCTGCATGTGGGTGAGGGGAGGATGGACTGAGGGGGTCTCAGGAGGAGAGGACCGTGGAACAGGTCATCTGAGTCCCAGGTCAAGGGCCTGGCTGTGTCCACTGGAGCGTTTGTGTGTCTGTTGCCCAGCCGGCCCTTTGGCCCCCTGGCTCAGCCGTCTCCTCATTGCAGAGCCCAGTGACCTTCGAGGACGTGGCCGTGTTCTTCTCCCAGGAGGAGTGGGGGCTCCTCGACGAGGCTCGGAGGCGCCTGTGCCGCGATGTGATGCTGGAGATCTTCGAGCTCATGGCCTCACTTGGTAAGACCCTTGTGCCCAGCCGCGCCATGGTGACCAGCTTTCGCCCTGTGCCTTTCCCCATAGAAAGTTCTGTCTGTCCCAAAGCCCAACCATGGATGCTGCTTCCTTCCCAGGTTTCATGTTGCAGGAGCTGGGACGGGGCTGTGTGCACGCCTCTGCCTCTTCCTGGGCAGCCTCATGAGTGGTCCTCATAGCTGTGGCCTAGGATCCTGTGGGAGCAGAGGTTGGGGATCAGGCATCTCCAGGCAGCTCACTGGACTCCACTGAGCCTGACCCGGTGTGGGGCCGTGCCCTGGTTCTGTCCCTCTTCCATAAGACGATTTTTCAAAACAACTTTTTTTTTTAATATATTTTATTGATTTTTACAGAGAGGAAGGGAGAGGGATAGAGAGTCAGAAACATCGACGAGAGAGAAACATCAATCAGCTGCCTCCTGCACACCTCCCACTGGGGATGTGCCCGCAACCAAGGCACATGCCCGTGACCAGAATCGAACCCGGGACCCTTCAGTCCGCAGGCTGACGCTCTATCCACTGAGCCAAACCGGTTAGGGCTCAAAACAACTTTATTAAGATACACCATAAGTTCACCCATTTAAAGTACACATTTACACAGGTGTCTGATGATCACAATCCAATTTTAGAATATTTTCATCACCTACAGGGAGACTTTGTAGCCATTAGCAGTCATGCCCTATCCTCCCTCATCTCTTTTCCCCAAGTCCTGGGCAACCTCTAATATACTTCTTTTTTAAAATATATTTTATTGATTTTTTACAGAGAGGAAGGGAGAGGGATAGAGAGAAACATCCATGAGAGAGAAACATCGATCAGCCGCCTCCCGCACATACCCCACTGGGGAAGTGCCCACAACCAAGGCACATGCCCTCGACTGGAATCAAACCCGGGATGCCCCAGACCACAGGCCGATGCTCCATCTACTGAGCCAAACCAGTCAGGGAAGAATTACATCTTGATGGCACTGTTTATCTTCAGAGGGTAATATGACATAATGGAGATTAGCATGGACTCTGAAAGTTGAGGAACCCAAGCTCAAATAAGAAGCAACTTTCAGTGCTAGAAAGCACTTATATTTAACTCCACCTGTGCATGAAACATAAATGTAGAGATCAAACTTGTTTACATATGTAACACCCAATATAAGATGTAGAATCTTTTTCAAGATTTTAGAAGTTTCTTTCACACTTGTTATGTGGTTTTTTCCTTATACCCATCCCAGTGGGTGTGAAGTGGTATCTCCTTGTGGCTTGGATTTGCATTTCTCTCACGACTAATGATGTTGAGCATCTTTCATTTGCGTGTGTGTGCACACATTTTTCTCTTCAAGGAATGTTTATTCGTGTCCTTTCCCCCATCTCTGTCCTTGCCTCTGGTGAGGCCTCCTGTATTCTGTGGTGTGGCTGGGTGCCATTCTATACAGCAGGCCCTTCAGTCTTAATTCTGTCAACGATCCCTTGGACCCCTTCCTATATGTGTCAGTTACCCATTTCTAATGAAGTCACTCTTTGCACCAAATTGAACACTCAGTTAACGAGAAATTTCTCTGTTTTTAGGTTGTTGGCATGAAGTGGAAGACGAGGAGGCCTGTTCCAAGCAGAATGCTTCTGTAGAAGGGGTCTCCCAGGTCAGGATCCCCAATGCACATCCTTCTACTGAGAAGACTGATACCTGTGACATGTGTGGCCCATTTATGAAAGACATTTTGCACCTCGATGAGCATCAAGGAGCACATCCTGAGGAGACCCCCTACACGTGTGGAGCATGTGCAAGGAGGTTTTGGTTCAATGCAAACGTTCCCCAGCACCAGAAGGAGCGCAGTGGAGAGAAGTCCTGCAGGTGGGACAAGGACAGGGATTCATTTGTGAAGAGCTCTGTAGTCTCCCTATCAGAGAAACCCTTCACTTGCAGGGAAGGTTGGAAGGATGTCTCAGACAGCCATGACCTCCGCCAGCGTCCCAGTGGGTGTGAAGTGGTATCTCCTTGTGGCTTGGATTTGCATTTCTCTCACGACTAATAATGTTGAGCATCTTCCACTTGCGTGTGTGTGCACACATTGTTCTTCAAGGAATGTTTATTCATGTCCTTTCCCCCATCTCTGTCCTTGCCCCTGGTGAGGCCTCCTTTATTCTGTGGTGTGGCTGGGTGCCATCCCACACAGCGGGCCCTTCAGTCTTAATTCTGTCAACGAGCCCTTGGACCCCTTCCTATATGTGTCAGTTACACATTTCTAATGAAGTCACCCTTTGCACCAAATTGAACATTCAGTTAACGAGAAATTTCTCTGTTTTTAGGTTGTTGGCATGAAGTGGAAGACGAGGAGGCCTGTTCCAAGCAGAATGCTTCTGTAGAAGGGGTCTCCCAGGTCAGGATCCCCAATGCACATCCTTCTACTGAGAAGACTGATACCTGTGACATGTGTGGCCCATTTATGAAAGACATTTTGCACCTCGATGAGCATCAAGGAGCACATCCTGAGGAGACCCCCTACAAGTGTGGAGCATGTGCAAGGAGGTTTTGGTTCAATGCAAACCTTCCCCAGCACCAGAAGGAGCACAGTGGAGAGAAGTCCTGCAGGTGGGACAAGGACAGGGATTCATTTGTGAAGAGCTCTGTAGTCTCCCTATCAGAGAAACCCTTCACTTGCAGGGAAGGTTGGAAGGATGTCTCAGACAGCCATGACCTCCGCCAGCGCCCGGCCATCAACAGCAGTGGGAAGTCACACAGGAGCACAGAGTGCAGGGAGGCCTTCCCACACAGTTCCAGCCTGGGGCAGTTCCCAGGAGTCCATACCACAAAGAAGCTCCTCAACCACATGAGAACTCACTCTGAAGTGACACCATTTAGATGTCCAACAGTTTTAAATTCCTTAGAGGAGAAATCAGCCCTTGTTAATTACCAAAAATTCCACACTGGAGAAACATCTCAGGTGTGTAAAGAGTGTGGGAAGGCCTTTAGTTACCCACCTAAGCTGAGGGAGGACCAGAAATTTCACACTGGAATAAAACACTATGAGTATAGTGACTGTGGGAAAACCTTCGGCCGCAAACTCACACTTGTTCATCACCAGGGAATTCACACAGGAGAAAGGCCTCATGAGTGCAGTGCATGTGGGAAAGCCTTTAATAACAGGTCACACCTCACTCAGCATGAGAAAGTTCATACTGGAGAACGGCCTTTTGAGTGCAGTGAGTGTGGAAAAGCTTTCAACAACAACTTTGACCTTGTTAAGCACCAGAGAGTTCACACTGGAGAGCGGCCTTTTGAATGTAGTGAATGTGGAAGAGACTTCAGGCAAAGCTCCCACCTCCTGCGACATCAGAAGGTTCACACTGGAGAGTGGCCCTTTGGGTGCATTGAGTGTGGGAAAACCTTTAGCACTAGCACCGCCCTCATTCAGCACCAGAGAATACACACCAGGCAAAGGCCATATGAGTGCAGCAAATGTGGGAAAACCTTCAGCCGCAGTTCCAGCCTGGTTCAGCACCGGAGGATTCACACTGGAGAAAGGCCTTTTGAGTGCAGTGAGTGTGGAAGAACTTTTAACAAAAACTCCAATCTTGCTCAGCACCAGAGAGTTCACAGTGGAGCACGGCCTTTCAAATGTAGTGAATGTGGAAGAGCTTTTAACAAAAATTCCAATCTTGCTCAGCACCAGAGAGTTCACAGTGGAGAGCGGCCTTATGAATGTAGTGAATGTGGAGTAGGCTTCAGCCGAAGATCCCACCTCCTGCGACATCAGAAAGTTCACACTGGATAGCAGCCCTTTGGGTGCAGCAAATGTGGGGAGGCCTTCAGCACTAGCACCATCCTCACTCAGCACCAGAGAGTACATACCGGGCAAAGGCCATATGAGTGCAGCAAATGTAGGAAAACCTTCAGCCACAATTCCAGCCTGGTTCAGCACTGCAGGGTTCACGCTGGAGAAAGGCCTTTTGAATGCAGTGAGTGTGGAAGAGCTTTGAACAAAACCTCCAATCTTGCTCAGCACCAGAGAGTTCACAGTGGAGAGCGGCCTTTCGAATGTAGTGAATGTGGAAAACACTTCAGGCAAAGCTCCCACCTCCTGCGACATCAGAAAGTTCACACTGGAGAGCAGCCTTTTGAATGTGGGAAAACCTTTAGCACTAGCACCGCCCTCACTCAGCACCAGAGAGTACACACTGGGCAAAGGCCATACGAGTGCAGCAAATGTAGGAAAGCCTTCAGCTGCAGCTCCAGCCTGGTTCAGCACTGCAGGATTCACGCTGGAGAAAGGCCTTATGACTGCAGTGAGTGTGGGAAGGCCTTTGCTCACAGTTCCAGCCTCATTAAGCACTGGAGAATTCACACAAAGGAAAGGCCGTATAAGTGCAATGAATGTGGGAAATTCTTTAGCCAAAACTCCATCCTCGTTAAACATCGGCAAGTTCACACTGGAGAAAGGCCTTATGGGTGCAGTGAATGTGGGAAGTTCTTTAGCCAAAAGTACAGCCTCATTTATCACTGGAGAGTTCACACTGGAGAAAGGCCTTTTGAGTGCAGTGAATGCCTGAGAGCCTTCAGCACCAACTCTCACCTGGTTCGTCACCAGAGAGTGCACACACAAGAAAAGCCCTACGAGTGCAGTCAGTGTGGGAAAGCTTTTAGTGAAAAACCCACACTTGTTCAACACCAGCTAGTTCACACCAGAGAAAGGACTTACGAGTGTGGCCACTGTGGGAAAGTCTTCAGCCGCCTCTGCAGCCTTGCTCAGCATAAAAGGATTCATACCTGAGAGGAGCCTTATGGATATGGACTTTATGGGTCCAACTTCATGCAGCAGAACCACCACAGAGAAATTACTTCATGTACCACTGATATGGAGGAAACATCAGGAGCTACTGTGCCCTTTCCGAGCAGCCTAGGAACCTGGACAGAGCTGTGTCCCCTGGAGCACAGTCCTCTTTCCAGCCTGCCTGGATCCCAGTATTTGCAGTGGTCATCTGCATACGCCCGGAGAAAACATCTTCCTGGGCCTGCCTTCCCCTTCCCCAGAGCTAATCGGGAGTCCCGGACCCAATGGAATGGCTTCATTCCCATTGCCTCTGAGAGGGTTCAGGAAGGAACTGGGCCGGTGCTGGGGGAGGGGCCTTGAGGGATGTCCACTTGGGGCTCCTTGGGAAGATGTATGTTCCCCAAGGGTGGGTGGTATTCCATTGAAAATTTTTCCACTAGTTCCAGTATTGTTATTCTGATGTTAATCTTCACAACTGCCACTAATCTGTTTTATTTTATAAAACTGACATTTTGTCTGGTCACCATGAAAACTTAGCCCTTCATATACTAGAGTCGCAAAGAATCACTTTGCTTCCTTAGGTGATGTTGTGGACGAATGTTTGCATCTATCCCCCAAAATTCACAGGTTTAGGCCCAGCCCGCTCCGTGATGGTATTAGGAGGTGGGGCCTTTGAGAGGTAAACAGGGTTAGGGGAGGTCAGAGGCTGGAACCTGGTGAAGGGATTACTGTCCTTATTAGAAGGGAAGAGATATCAGAGCTTCCTCTCCAAACCCTGTGAGGACAGCAGAGTGATGGCTGTCCGCAAGCAAGGAAGGGAGCGCGCATCCACGAGCCTGGATTGAAATGGCCAGCACCTGGATCTTGGACGTCCCAGCCTCTAGAAATGTGGGAAATTCCTGTTGTGTAAGGCACCCAAGCTGTGGTACTGCTACAGCAGCCAGAGCAGACTGCAAGAGTAGAGAGGAGGAAGGTCCCCCTCACGGGCATCTACAGAGCAAAATGATGTCTGCCCTCATGAACCAGTTCCGTCTTACAAGACAAGGTATCAAACAACACTGAGTTTCAGCCCTGCCCCCTGCTTAATTAATACGGAGACGTGCCCATTTACTCACAGCTGTCACCAAACTGATTTACTGTGAGAAAATAAATTGACGCACGCCCTGCTGACATGGGGTCCAGGCATGTCACATACCAGCGAAAAAATAAGCGTTTTACCTCTGCAGATGAACTATAAAAGGCAAGAAACACTATCATTGTCAGTATCAATGAAGCCCTGAGCCCTTTTGGTATACTGGTATGTCTTTAACAGGCACAAATGCAGCCCTGATTTCAAACGCCCAGATGTCCGTAAGGACAAAGGGGGTGGAGGGTTCGAATCCAGCCTGACATCGAGGCACGGGGGACACAGAAAGGGAGAGAATGACTCTTACGGCAGTGAGTGCAGGGACTCATGAGGAGAGGCCATCTTGGCTCGGCTGTTGAAGGGGTGTCACTGGGAGAGGCAGAGAGGACCAGGGAGGGGCAGGCACCCATGACAAGCTGAGGGAACCCCCCCAAAAAAGTGTCCTGGGGCCAGGAGCTGCTGTGTGGCTTCCAGAACAGAATATGGACAGTCCCAGGACAGAGGCTGTGGCCAGGGGCTGCCGGTGCTGGTTTGCCAGGTGAGGTTTTGGCTAACATGATGGCATTAGGGCAGGATAGTGAGACGCTGGGGAAATTCCTGGGCAAGTAGAATGGGGAAACCGAGATAAGAAAATGAAGGCTAAACAGTCTGGGCAGTTTACAACCTGCCTGTGAACTGCAAGACCTTATCCTCCCCACGCAAGGGCATTTGGGAGCAAATGGCTGACACCCGAATCCCTTACTAGGAAATACACAGCTTAACTCACCCTGGCCTGGGAAAGCAGAGAACAAAGACCCAATTCACGCCACTCGTGGCAGCTACACCCACGGACGGACGAAGTTGGGGAACCAGTAACAAAAACTCCAATGAAGCCAGACAGACCTAGGATGAAACAGGCCAAAGAATAATCCAAAACTCCCCTATACACCCATGTTGATGCATCAGCATATTAAAAATGCCCCTGTCCCATCTGGCTTGGCTCAGTGGTTTGATTCCCTGTCAGGACACATGCCTGGGTTGTGGGTTCGATTCCCAGTGTGGGGCGTGTGATCAATGATTCTCATCATTGATGTTTCTCTCTATCCCTCTGCCTTCACTAAAATCAAGTCAGGGCAATAAATATATTTTTAAGAAATGCACTTGGCCATGGCTGGTGTGCCTTAGGGGTTAGAGTGTCGGCCAGCATACCCCAGGGTTGCAGATTCGATTCCCTGCGTTGCAGGTTCAGTAGCAGCCACAATCCGGGGTGCTTGCAGGAGGCAACTGATCAACGTGTCTCTCATGTAACTCACGTGGTGAAATCTTTCCTACACGAAATCAAGAGCCCATACCCTACAGGTTGGGGTGAGGCAGACCTGCTTGGTGCCGGTCCCTGTTCAGTGACAGAATGAGTCCCACCCAAACTGGTACCCTGGACAGGCCAAAGGGTCCGAGCCACTGGCTTTGTTGATGTCCCAGCATCACCATGGCAACGTGACTCTCCACCAGTCCCCCATCAGGTTGGCGGCTGTACATGGAGCCCCAGCCAAACACCAGAAGGCAGAGTCAGGGCAGGTGCGGAGGGCCCTTCACCCGGGTGCCGGGGCTGCCCTACAAGATCTAGCCAAGGCCACCCACACACACAGTGTCACCCAAACCCCACTTGCTCAGTGACCTGAGCCCAGCGACTGAGCTCTATGACCAGTGTCACCCAAACCCCACTTGCTCAGTGACCTGAGCTCCACCTGGCTCGGCTGGACTTTAATTTTTAAAAATAAATTTTTGTTGATTTTATTTTTTTAAATTATTTATTGCTTAAAGTATTACAAGGAGTATTACATATGTCTCCTTTTTTCCCCGCCCTTGACAATCCCCTGGCCTCCCCTACCCCGAAGTGTCTTATGTCCATTGGTTATGCTTATATGCATGCATATCAGTCCTTC